GGGACGCTCCAGTGACACAGCCCCAGGCAAGGAGCCTGTTAATGACAGCAATAATGAAAGTCTTTCTGCACATCCGGTTTCCTCTCTACTCCTCAGGCCCTAATTAGTTAAATCCCTCAGCCATTCTGCAGGGTGGGGCCCGCTGGGCAACTCCACCTTGGGCCTGTGGAGCACAGGAGGTAGGAACAGGCCAGAGACATCCTCACAGAGCATCCTCACAGCCTTTCTCCCCAGCTGCTCTGGCTCCCGGGGACCTACCCACCACATGCCCCATGGACCTCCAGCCCTTCCCCAGGACAGCTCAGAGGGCAGCCACTGTGTGTGCCTCACCGCAGCACCCAGGAATGAAAGAACCAGAGCCACCTTCCTTTGGAAAGAAGACCTCACATCCATAGTAAAACCTCCTTTCAGTGCCTATCGCCACCATTCCAAGGGCTTCCCCGGTGGCTTAGCAATCAAGAATCCGCCTGCCAGTGCAGGAGATAAAGGCTCGATCCCTGTGTCGGGTAGATCCCCTGGCAAAGGAAAAGGCAACCCACTCCCGATTTCTTGCCTGGAAATCTCACGGACAGAGGAGCCAGGTGGGTTACGGTCCATGGGGTGGCAAAAAGGTTGGACACAACTTAGTGACTGAACAACAATGACAGCACACCGTTCCAGCACCTCACCCTGGCCCACAAGGCCCTTGGAGCCATCTGACCACCGGTTACCACACCCGCCCCCTGCACACCGTCCTCCTCTACTCGCCAGACCCCAGACCCCAGACACACCGGCCTGCTCACTGTCCCCCACCATGTGCTGGGCTCCCCCCGCTTTGGCGTGCACTCCGCTGTTCCTCTGGCCTGACTGTGTTCTCTGACCCTCACAGGGCTGGTTCCACCCCCCTGGCACAGCTCCCCTGCACCACTGCCAAATTCTATCAAGCTGCTTAGGGGCTGACTGGCCGTGAGCCCATCCCCAGGGGAAGAGGGCCCCAGGCGAGCAGAACCTGGAGCCCCCAGGCCCTGGTCAGTATCTGCAAACGAGCCCCTTTCCTCCTCACACTGACTTTCCTCAGTGTTCTGGACACGTGGCTGTCCTCAAGTAGGCAGATGACACAGTTATTCAGTATTTGACGCACTGAATGCATCTGATGTTTCAGGCAGTACCTGAAGTACTGCCATACTAGAGAGCAACAATTCTCAAAAGTGCTCCGTGGAGCCTCGGGTTCCCCAAGACGTTTTCACAGGGGGTCCCTGAGGTCAGTTCCCCAAGACATTTTCACAGGGGGTCCCTGAAGTCAAAGTTATTTTCACCATAATAGTAAGATATTTGCCTTTTTCACTTAAGCTCATGAGTGTAGTGTGGAGTTTTCCACAGGTTACAAGCATGTGTTATCACAATATACTGAATGCAGAAGCTGCTTTGAGAATCCAGCTTCTATGCAGCCAGACTGTAAGGAGATGTGCAAAAATATAAAAGCAACGCCATACATTTTCATTCAAGTTTTTTTGTTTGGGGAATTATGGTTATTTTTTCATAAAAGTATGTTATTTAGACCAATCTATAGTTGATTAGGGCTTCCCAGGTGGCGCGAGTGGTAAAGAACCCACCTGCCAACGCAGGAGACAAGAGATAGGAGTTCCATCCTTGAGTCAGGAAGATCCCCTGGAGGAGGGCATGGCAACCCATTCCAGTATTCCTGCCTGGAGAATCCCACAGACAGAGGAGCCTGGTGGGCTACAGTCCAGAGGGTTGCAAAGATCGGACACTTCGCACAGCTCGTGAAGTGGCTTAGCACAACATGCATACTTTATTATCATCATTAAAAAAATGTTTTAACTTCTCAATTTGCTAGCTGTAAAAACAAAGTTCTTTGAGGACCTCAGTAAGTGTGTAAAGTGACCCTAAGACCCACATGTTTGAGAACCACTGCTCTAGAGGACAGCTAGGAATCCCTGCCCAGACAGGGCTCAAGCTTCTAACTGGAAAGAGAGACAAATAAAAAATTTAAACATATTGTGCTTCAGATGGTGATAAGCAGTACAGGACTCAGACGGGAAGTGCCTCTGTCGTGGAGGTAGCGACTGAGTTTAAAGTGACGGGAAGGTAGGGTGACCTTGGGCACTGGCGCTTGCCTTTATGGTCAAGCATCTAGCCCCCATTTATTGATTTTTCACTATGTGTTAGGTCCCTTTGTATATATTCTTTCGTGGAATCATCCTAAAACTCTAACCTACATTCTCCCAAATCCTCTGAATTCTCTGTAACACCCTCTCGGCCCATCGTTTTTTCCACTTGTATCTTTGAATCAGACTCTGAACGCACCTCTCTAAAACCAGAACCCTAGACCAGGGCCCTGCCCAAAGCTGGAGTGGGGCTTGAAGGCAGCCCCTGCCCTCTCCAAGAGCTCCTAGGCCTGGAGCTGAAATCTGGTCATGTGGCCGGATCTGGGCCTCAATGCATTTTGTTTGGCCTATACGATGTTTTCAAAACTCAAGAAAAACATGGCTTTCTGGCTTCTTTTGATCCATCTAAGGCCCGAGTTCACCTCCTGCCTCCCGGCCGCACCCTGTTCCCCGTCTGGGTCTGGTCCTGACATCACCTGGGCTGGGCATTGCTCGAATTGTTTTAGATAGAGGGAGAAAATGCCAGGTTTCCAGCTGGGCACAGGAGCTGGGCTTCCCTCCACTCCCCTGGGCCTCTGGTCCGTCATCTGCACACAGCAGAGGCAGCCCTCATGATCTCAGAGGTCTCACAAGCTCTCAGGTCCAGCGTTACCAAGTGGGGGTGCACACGGTTCCCAAGCAGCATGGAGAGGTAGAAATAGGGCCCCGATCCAGGCGCCGAAGAATGGAAGTGGGAGCGGAACCACCCAAGCAGAGGCACACCACTCTGGCTTCCTCAGGACAACTTTCACTTTTAAAACCTGGGTGGCTGGTGAGCCTAGGAACAGCGAAGGCAACTCTGTTTTTCTCCATCCTCAAAGCTGAAATGGAGGAAGCTCCCGTGGCTACTGGGCTTCCTGAAGGGACATACACACATTGCATGTTTATAAATCACGGCCTGTATCAAACCCGGGCCCAGGTCAAGACAACCTGAAAACCCAGGGCCTGTGGGCCTCTGGAGCAGAAAGAATCTGCCCCAGATGGAGCCCGAAGGTCACTCCAATGACGGACTCAGCAAAGGCAACATGATTCCAGCCAGCCTTCAAGGGCACTCTCAGTAGGGGAGTAGTCCTGACAGTGCTGTCCGGTCATACCTGATCCAGGCAGGAGAAGCCCCTGGATTATGGCGAAGGGGCCTGTACAGGCTGAACACCCCCCCCCCAGCCCCCCGCCGAAAGTCTATTATCCACAGGAACAGCTGCCCAAGGAAATTCAGGGCCAGCAGGGCTAGTCCCTCCCCGAAACAAGACTGAGAGGCTGGGTCACTGCCCATGGTCCAGACAGAGAGAGAAGGGGTGTGCTCTGAGGCCTGGTCCCCTGGGGTCTGCAAAGGGATGCCCCCTTCCCTGCTCTGCCCCCATGCCCATGATTAAAACGCTCATCTTTCATCCCTTGCCCACTGTTGCCCATCACCCTCCTCTCTGCACCCTGGATTCTGTAGGGCCCAGTCCTAGTTCCTCGTCAAATTATATTCACCACAGTCTTGAGTCATGATCACATATCACCCAGGTGGGTTTTCTTTGGAGCACTCTGCAGCACCTTCTAAAATCCTGTTACTCTTTTGCTGCTTATTTCTTGCCTATTTCCTCCCACGGAAGTATCACCTCCTTGAGGGCAGGGATCACCTGTCCTGATCACCTCTCTAGCCCCAGCAACTACCATAGCTTCTGGTGCTTAGAAGATGCCCAATAAAGGCCAAGTGAACAGATCAATGAATGAATGACTTCCCCACCTCTAACCTGGTCCCAAGAGGTACCTCCTATGAGCAGGTAGCATGACGGTGAAGGACAAGGGCTAGGTTCAAATCCCAGTGCCAGCCCTCTACTGTGTGTGCACCAGGATGAACTATTTGATCTCTCTGTGACTCAGTTGTCCTGAGTATAAAATGGGCATAAGCACCTGGCAAGATGTAGGCTTTCTCCATTAATATCCCTCACTCCTTCGGTTCACTCCTGTTACCTCCTCCAGGTGGGTTCTTTGCTGACCTTTCTGGGCAAGCAGAGGGGTTATTAGCTTGGAGACTAGGCCGCAAAGGGCTGACTTATAATCCCACTAGCTGTGTGACCCTGTGCAAGTCACTTTAAATCTCTGGGTCTTTGTAAAGTGACAGCAACAGAAGCTACTTACTCCATTATTATCATCTGAATGAGCTAATTCACATCAACGTGGATTACAGCCTGGCACACAGGAGCCCTATTATAGGTTATTAGTTATACGCGTGCGTGTGTGCTAACTCGCATCCTGCTCTTTGTGACCTAGGGACTGTAGCCCGCCAGGCTCCCCTGTCCATGGGATTCTCCAGGCAATACTGGAATGGGTTGCCATGCCCTGCTCTAGGAGATCTTCCCGAGCCAGGGATTGAACCCACGTCTACTGTAGCTCCTGCATTGCAGGTGGATTCTTTACCACTGAGCCACCAGGCAAGCCCCTGTTACTATATAAATTTTACTTATTGTTGCTGATATTACAAGTATTATTACAGAACCCCTGCCCCTCTCTCCACTACCCACTTTTCTTTACCTTTAAGCACTTGAAAGTACGTGTTTATTATTGTTGTTTAGTTGCTAAGTCGTGTCTGACTTTTGTGACACCATGAACCATAGCCTGTCAGGCTTGTGTTTGCCTTATTTGTCTGTCTCACTGGAATTCAAGCTCCAGGAGGGAAGGCATCTGATAATTTTGTTTACTGCTGTATTTCCAGGGCCTCAAGTGGTACCTGGTATACGTTAGGTGCTTGATAAATCTTTGCTGTTAAAGGGATGGGTGGATGGGTAGAAGGAAGAATCCATCCCTTGGCCAGTGCTTTCAGACACCAATGCTGATGAACTTCTAAGAGGGAGCCTACACCACCACTCAGGCCCACCCCGTCCAATCCCACGTACTTCCTGTGATGGTGATCCTTCGGCCCTGATAGTAGTCTCCCAGGGTCACGGCATTGCCCTGCTTGGTGGCCACAACCCTGACGGTGCGTGCGCTGTCCTGGCACTCCACGTAGGGGTTGTAGCCTGGGTTACCAGCCGCCAGCTGGGCGTTAAGCTGGTTATCAACACTGGCAGGAGAGACGGCATCAGCGATGCGGTCCCGGCAGAAAGACTTGTACTTCCAGATCACGATGGGCACTGCGGTGGTCGCGGTCGACTGGTAGGTGCAGGGCAGGGTCACGGGTTGGAATAGGCTCACCACGTGGTAGGGGTCTGACACAGTCACCTGGATGGCGCTGGAGGGGCCTGAGGACAAGAAGAGAGTCAGCAGAGGGACCACTGTGAGTGCAAGGAAGTACTTCAGCAGGAAGGAGCCACATCACTTGTCACATCACCGACATTTACAAGTGCACGGTTTTAGAGAGTGCCGGGCACACACTGTTCCTTAATCCCCAAGGCAGCTCTGATAATCATGCCCATTAAGAGATCCAGGGGTTGAAGTGGCCACTGCAAGGTCACACAGCCTGATTCCTTGGAACATCCTGCCCATTCCTCTAACCAGAGTGCAGCCTCTGAACTGCTTCCAGTCCCCTCTTCCCTTGGCCACCCTCTCATGGAAAGGGTCTGTGGCCTGTACAGATAAGCCCAAATGCCCCCCCAAAAGCCCACAGTGCTCGAGGCCCCCCTTTTCAAAAACAACCAAGTGTTCCCAAGTTACTCCAGGTTTTGTGAATTGGGGGCGGGGAGGGCTGGGGCATTCTGGAGTTGTTTGGATTGCTTCGCCACACAGTAGCTAAACCCTCAGTTATGTCACCACCAGCCTTTCACCTTGCCCTACCCAAAGCCATCTCAAATGAATATGCCAAGTGTTAGGGGAAGCACACTGATTGAAACCTCCCACCCTGGCCAGGCACCATAGTAACCATTTGCATGAGTTGTTTTATGACAGGAGATCCTGATAAGGAATATGGAACTAGTAAGCCACCACCAGCCGGAAGAGTTCGGGAAAGGTCGAGAGGAGACACTGCCTTTCTGTCCACTTCCCAGAGTCCCTCTTGCTAGCATCCATCTTGGCTGAGCAATGCGTGCGCCACCAGGAAAGACTCTGAATTAGAGTGATTGGCAAAGATCACCCGGAAACTAACCCCATCACCATAAAACCCAAGACTGCGAGCCATGTGGCAGAGCAGTGCTCCTGGGTTCCACTACCCTCCTGCTCTCCACCCGGGTGCCCTTTCCCAATAAAATCTCTTGCTTTGTCAGCACATGTGTCTCCTCGGACAATTCATTTCCGAGTGTTAGACAAGAGCCCAGTTTCGGGCCCTGGAAGGGGTCCCCCTTCCTGCAACAAAAGTGCTTGCTGAAAGATAAAAGTCCCCCTGAAACCCCCTGCCCAAACAAACATCAGATCCAGCAGAAGATGGTTTCCAAGTTAGTTCATAAGTCCGTTTCACCAGACTCTTACGCAGATATTCTTACGACATGACTGGGTTAGGGAGGGGAATTTTCAATACCGCACCCACACGACGCCTGGGCGCTGCTTCTTGATCTCATCCCCTAGGAATCGTCAGATCCAGCCCTCAAGTGCCTTCTCCCTGTTACCCCAAGACTCAGAAATCCCGACCTGCTACCGAGTCCTCATCCCCGCCCTTCTCAGTGATCGGGTGGTCCTTCACCCCTACCCCACAAAGGGTCCCATTCTCCCTGCGGCTCCCGGGTTCGCTGTCCCGGGAGTTTCACTTCCTGTTATCTCTGAACAAGGGCGGGGGAGCGCTCTCAGGCACGAACAGAGAATTCCTCTCCCTCTGGCACACAGGGATCTCCGGAGGCCTTGGGGATCAGGAGGTCTTAATCTCTGCGCTCCCCCTCCCCCAGTTCTCCTGCCTCCGGGGCGCTGTAGAACTCCAGGCATCGCCCTTCTAGAGCGCCCTCCCGGCGTCCCGCAGCACCAGGGGCCCCGCGCTCCGTACCTGTGCACAAGGTGCTCAGAAAAAGCCACACGCAGACGACCGCGCCCCAGCTCAGGGCACGCGGGCAGGACTCCAGTCCCCCGGAGAACTGGCGGGCCAAAGAAGCCATCGCTGCCGCCTGGGCGCGTCGCGCCCGCGCGTCCCCTCCCTGGTACCGGGAGGGTAGGGGGCGCGGCGCCCACCAAGACTGGGAGGGGTGCCTGCTCCTCCCCTTCCCGCTTCCGCTCCTTGTCTCCATCCCAAGCCCACTCTACCCTATTCTAGGATTTTAATTAGAGGAATCCTCGTCGATGAAGAGCACGGGTCCGGCTTGCGGGGAGAAACTTGCTTGTCCCACTGTGGCTCTGCGAGCCACTCCACCCCCCCGTGGCTCCGGGGAATGGATCGGCCCAGGTACACAGGGTGAGAGCGGAGGGCAGGGCTAGGGGTGGGCGGCGGGGAGGGGCTCCCCCACCTCCCTCCCCGGAAGTGGGCTGACCCAGGTGCGCTCCGGCCCAGAGGGTTGGAACCAAGTGACCAGCCCGCCGGGAGGGCAGTTGAAGACCAGAGATCGCGGTCCGGCCCTCTCCTGCTTCGGTCACGCCGAGCAGAGTGTGAATCACGAGGACAGAGACTCAACTGCGTTGATTCACCTGTTGAGAGAGGCGGGACGCGCCGCGCACCTGTTCCCTCTCTTCCCACACCCCTCTCCTCGGCTGGCGATGGACCCGCCTAGGTACACCCTGCGGGGAGGGGCGAGTCTGAGCGAGCTTTGGGCTGGAAGAGGCTTGTTAGTTGCCGCGCTTGACTTTGCCACTAGCCTTGGGGCTCCTCCCGTGCCGGGGACGGAGGCGCTGCAGCCCTCTCGCGCCTTCCACTTAGGTGATAATGAACAACCGAGCCACGTTCTTGGAAAGGAAGTCTGCCGCCTTTAGGGGACGCGCGAAGGGAATCGAGCCCAGGAAAAGTTGGACTTCTACCTTGGAAGTTTTCTCCGCCTCTACACCCCCCTCCACCCCCCATTCCTAACTCTTGGTTTGGCCTCCGGGCGTCCGTCGCCCCGGGTCAGGCCTCCGGAAACTATGGCTCTTAAAGGGGCCGAGCGGAGGCTAGGGACTAGGGACGGGTTTCCGCCTGAGGATTCCTAGAGACTGGGCCACCTGCGCCGCGGGCGGGGCGGGCGAGGCCAGGCTCCAGGAACGCGAGGCGCTCGCGCGGCTCTGTTGCCCCCCGGTGGCGGCTAGGGGAAATGCATCCTGCGGAGCGAAGAGCTTCTGAGGAGACTCCCCGGGAGGCAGGTTAGGTACCCAGGGATGCTTTGTTCCACGGATCTTGCTACAACCCAAGTTGGGTCCCGACCCTCTGCTCAAAACTTTCCCAAGACTCCCTTTCCTAGCAGAAGTCAAAATACTTACAGTGTGGCCTGATCCCTCTCTGAACCTCTGTACTCACCCCGTGGCTTACTCAACTGGACACCTCAGCGTTCGGCAATGACTCTCACCCTCCCAACTTCAGGCCCCTTGCCTTCACTATTTTGGGAACACTTTCCCATCAGTTATCCACCTGATCCTCCACATCCTTTAGGGCTTTACTTAAAGGTCACCTTTGCGGTGTCACCTTCCCTGACCACTTTTATAAAATTTCAACCGGCTCACATGCCTCCCTCCACCCACTTCTTTCTTGTTATTTTATTGTGGTAAAATATACATAACATCGGAGAAGGCAATGGCACCCCACTCCAGTACTCTTGCCTGGAGAATCCCATGGCCGGAAGAGCCTGGTGGGCTGCTGTCTATGGGGTCGCTAAGAGTTGGACACGACTGAGCGGCTTCACTTTCACTTTTCACTTTCCTGCATTGGAGAAGGAAATGGCAACCAACTCCAGTGTTCTTGCCTGGAGAATCCCAGGGACAGAGGAGCCCGGTGGGCTGCCATCTATGGGTCGCACAGAGTCCGACACGACCGAAGCGACTTAGCATCAGCAGTGGCATACATACCATAAGATAGTTTAATCATTTGCGAAGATACAATTCAGTGGCAGTAATTACATTCACATGGTTGCATACTCATAACCACTGCGTGCATGCTAAGTTGCTTCAGTCCTGTCCGGCTCTTTGTGACCTTTTGGACAGTAGCCCACCAGGTTCCTCTGTCCATGGGATTCTCCAGGCAAGCATACTGGAGTGGGTTGCCATGCCCTCCTCCAGGGGATCTTCCCAATCCATCTCTTATGTCTCCTGCATTGGCAGGCAAGTTCTTTACCACTAGAACCAACTGGGAAGCCCACTCATAACCACTATGTATACCCTAATCTTTTCATCACCCCCAATATAAATTCTGTACCTATTGAACAATAACTCCCCATTCCCACCTGCTCCCAGCCCCTGGTAACCTCTATCCTACTTTCTTTGTCTATCAAATTGCCTATTCTAGGTACCTCATTTAAGTGAGGTACCTAGTGAATCAATGAAATTTGACCTCTGTCTGGCTCATTTCACTACATATGTTTCAAGATTCATCTACACTGCAGCATATAGAAAAATCAAGATTTCTCCCTTTTAAGTTACTGAAAATATGCAGTGTTCTTTATATTATCAAATATTAGTTGAGATAATTTAAATAGTTCAGTTATGCAGCTTAAATTTGAGCTGTGACTTATATTACACATGTTGTTTGTATACATTGCTTCTAATTATCTTATATGGCTTAAAAATCCTACCTCTAAAAGAAAATCAGAAAATTCACCTGATGTAGGTACTTTGACCCCCCCCCCCCCCCCAGCCCCGGAGAAATGTACACTCGTATCATGCATTTTGACCAATGCTCCAATATAAGGAAGTTGTTTACTCAGTAAGTCCCATCTTACTCTTTTGTGACCCCATGGACTGTAACCTCCAGGTTCCTCTGTCCATGGAATTTCCCAGGCAGCTATACTGGAGTGGGTTGGCATTTCCTTCTCCAGGTGATCTTCCCAACCCAGGGATCAAACCTGTGTCTCCTGCATTGGCAGGTGAATTCTTTACCACTGAGTCACCAGGGAAGCCCATAAGGAAGTTACTACTTTCTTTTTTTCATTTATTTTTATTAGTTGGAAGCTAATTACTTTACAGTATTGTAGTGGTTTTTGTCATACATTGACATGAATCAGCCATGGATTTACATGTATTCCCCATCCCGATCCCCCCTCCCACCTCCCTCTCCACCTGATTCCTCTGGGTCTTCCCAGTGCACCAGGCCTGAGCACTTGTCTCATGCATTCAGTCTGGGCTGGTGATCTGTTTCACCCTAAATAATATACATGTTTCGATGCTGTTCTCTCGAAACATCCCACCCTCACCTTCTCCCACAAGTCCAAAAGTCTGTTCTGTACATCTGTGTTTCTTTTTCTATTTTGCATATAGGGTTATCGTTACCATCTTTCTAAATTCCATATATATATGCGTTAGTATACTGTAGTGGTCTTTATCCTTCTGGCTTACTTCACTCTGTATAATGGGCTCCAGTTTCATCCATCTCATTAGAACTGATTCAAATGAATTCTTTTTAATGGCTGAGTAATATTCCATGGTGTATATGTACCACAGCTTCCTCATCCATTTGTCTGCTGATGGGCATCTAGGTTGCTTCCATGTCCTGGATATTATAAACAGTGCTGCGATGAACACTGGGGTGCACATGTCTCTTTCAGATCTGGTTTCCTCGGTGTGTATGCCCAGAAGTGGGATTGCTGGGTCATATGGCAGTTCTATTTCCAGCTTTTTAAGAAATCTCCACACTGTTCTCCATAGCGGCTGTACTAGTTTGCATTCCCACCAACAGTGTAAGAGGGTTCCCTTTTCTTCACACCCTCTTCAGCATTTATTGCTTGTAGACTTTTGGATAGCAGCCATCCTGACTGGCGTGTAATGGTACCTCATTGTGGTTTTGATTTGCATTTCTCTGATAACGAGTGATGTTGAGCATCTTTTCATGTGTTTGTTAGCCATCTGTATGTCTTCCTTGGAGAAATGTCTGTTTAGTTCTTTGGCCCATATTTTGATTGGGTCATTTATTTTTCTGGAGTTGAGCTGGAGGAGTTGCTTGTATATTTTTGAGATTAATCCTTTGTCTGTTGCTTCGTTTGCTATTATTTTCTCCCAATCTGAGGGCTGTATTTTCATCTTGCTTATAGTTTCCTTTGTTGTGCAAAAGCTTTTAAGTTTCATTAGGTCCCATTTGTTTATTTTTGCTTTTATTTCCAATATTCTGGGAGGTGGGTCATAGAGGATCCTGCTGTGATTCATGTCGGAAAGTGTTTTGCCTATGTTCTCCTCTAGGAGTTTTATAGTTTCTGGTCTTACATTTAGATCTTTAATCCATTTTGAGTTTATTTTTGTGTATGGTGTTAGAAAGTGTTCTAGTTTCATTCTGTTACAAGTGGTTGACCAGTTTTCCCAGCACCACTTGTTAAAGAGGTTGTCTTTTTTCCATTGTATATTCTTGCTTCCTTTGTCGAAGATAAGGTGTCCATAGGTTCATGGATTTATCTCTGGGCTTTCTATTCTGTTCCATTGATCTATATTTCCGTCTTTGTGCCAGTACCATACTGTCTTGATGACTGTGGCTTTGTAGTATAGCCTGAAGTCAAGCAGGTTGATTCCTCCAGTTCCATTCTTCTTTCTCAAGATTACTTTGGCTATTTGGGGTTTTTTGTATTTCCATACAAATTGTGAAATTATTTGTTCTAGTTCTGTGAAAAATACCGTTGGTAGCTTGATAGGGATTGTATTGAATCTATAAATTGCTTTGGGTAGTATAGGGGTTTTTTGTATTTCCATACAAATTGTGAAATTATTTGTTCTAGTTCTGTGAAAAATACCGTTGGTAGCTTGATAGGGATTGCATTGAATCTATAGATTGCTTTGGGTAGTATAGCCATTTTGACAATATTGATTCTTCCAATCCATGAACACGGTATATTTCTCCATCTATTTGTGTCCTCTTTGACTTCTTTCATCAGTGTTTTATAGTTTTCTATGTATAGGTCTTTTGTTTCTTTAGGTAGATATACTCCAAAGTATTTTATTCCTTTTGTTGCAATGGTGAATGGTATTGTTTCCTTAATTTCTCTTTCTGTTTTCTCATTGTTAGTGTATAGGAATGCAAGAGATTTCTGTGTGTTAATTTTACACCCTGCAACTTTACTATATTCATTGATTAGCTTTAGTAATTTTCTGGTAGAGTCTTTAGAGTTTCTATGTAGAGGATCATGTCATCTGC